AAAAAAAAATCAGTTGACCAACCGTCTGATCGCCGGAATTGTAACCATTTTTGTATTCACATTGTAGCTCCAGCGCTTGCCAGTCATATTCTTCGTTGCCAACAACCACAGCCATCAATTCATCGGGTTTGAATATTTGCAGTACACGTCCCCAGCATACCTTTAAGATTAAAAATTCGTTATTTAAATTACTTAGATATAAATTGCCTAAAAATTATTGCCTTCATAAATCCTTTACGAAACGCGGTAAACTGGTTCTCCACTGCCTTGTTGAAAATAAAATCAACATATAAGTCTACAAACTCTTTTCTGTAAAAATGTCTGTTAAGCTTGTGGCTAGTTTAAAATTCCACCGACTTACTTATTCTCCAAAGTAACAGCTGTTTGGCTACCATTAGGTTTTAGCTCCTCGGTTATCGATTCACCAAAGATATCACGGGATATTTCAAAGTTTAAGTTGAAAACCTCTTCGAAATCGATTTGATTGTAATTCAAAATGGATTCCATAGAATTGGCTAATGCAGGTGAAATGTCGCGCAAATCACTAATATCAACAGGTTCATCAAGTAATTTTTTATAAAGCGCCAATGGGAATGGTAAATTTATTATAATAAAATTGTATATCGCTAGGCCACAAATCACTCCAATCAAGAAGTACATATCCTCTGTTTCAAATGTAACATCAGCAAACCAAAGTGTACGTGAGTCCTCAAATTCTTTAAACATGCCGTATTTCGGATCCAAAAGGTCTCTTAATAACAACATGAAGAACTCTTTTCGAACACCACCAGCGTCTTCGGCCTCTTCTCCATGAAATTTGATCTGTACAAAAGTGCATAAAAAATTTTGTTTTTATTTCGAAAATTGAGTGTGTAAAATTTTAAACAATGCACTCTCTGATACTTATTTCGATGCAACATCAACTTATTAGTTGCTAATACATACTTTCAGTGGCTTTTTCAAGTCGCTTTGACTATATTGCATTATTTCCCGCAAAGTGTCCTGCACTAAATTCTCGCGAGAAACATTTAAAACAATGAACTGTGAAATAGGCGTTCCAAATGTTAACAGCGAAAGTATTCCCTGCAAAAAATATAGGAAAAATAACAAATGCCAAAGCATTTATTGTAAAAAACTAAAAAGATACCGAATTGGCGGCGTTTTGCATTGCAGCATGCATCTGGATAGCTTGATCTGTCTGCAGCAGCGTTGTTTTAGCTGATGCATTGAACAAAAACGGATAATTACATATATTGAAAGTATCGGGCTGCAAAGGAAAAAATTAAAAATTAATTCCACAAGGTTTCAATGTAGTGTTGTTTGTGCATTAATTTACATTCTTTTCAAAGAGCCAATGTATGTAATCTTGTTGAATGTCAACATAATCGGTCAGTTCTGGCCAGTGGAAAATGTCATAATCTATTTTTTCAGCACGCTCTTTATGATTAATGCGATGAAGCACAACCAGCAAATTTAAAGCTGCTGACAAGTTGGAATTGTAAGTAACGAGCTGTATACAAAATATAAACACAAGTAAAAAGTCGCATTAGCAAATGCAAAAGTCAAAGATTTCTTTTGCTTTTACTGATTATTACCTTCTTTTCAAAGTGACCTCCGGAGTTTGCAGCTATTTTAAAACTGATTATGTGAGCAACTACATTTTTGTAGCTCGACACAAAGTTTTCAAACCATTCAATAGGCGTTTGGGCCCACCACATAATGACAATTTTCCTAGGTATCTCCTTAAGTCGAAGTACAGCATTGCTAAAAGGCGTATGAAGATTTTCATAATTTTTAGAATTAACAAATTCATGATATAAAGGCAAAATTAAATAAAGTCTTAAAGTTTCTACGTCCGCTGGCGATGGCATGAGGGATGTAATTATTTCATTTGTAATTTTGTCCCAAATCTATAAGGTAATCAACAAAAAAAAATATATATATATAAGTAATATTAATATGCTTCGTACAACGTGTACCCACTATTTGTTTAAGGCTTTCGTGTTCTACTTTACGTATGTAGTCAAATGTTTGTTTAACTTCTACTAAGTCAACCCCAGGTTGCTTCGAGGTGCAACAAAAATGCTTATCTCCAAGCAAAAAGGATCCATTAAGGCAAGCTTGACTTTTAAAAATCACTTCTACGGTTGTTAATAGGTCCAAGTCGATTGATGAATCCTTCTCCACCATTGCACATTGCTTGGCTAATTCACTAGTTATACACATGATTTGAGTTTTAGGCCTGTAAATAAAAGCTCTATGCAGTTAACTCGCTCTCTGTTATCTTTAAATCACATACTCGTAAATGCGACAATCGAAGGCAAGTATATTGTCAATGAATTGAGAGGTAGTTACAAATGAATGATTGCCCCCACAAAAAATTTGCCGTATTACAAAACCCATGTCTGGATTATCTTTGGTCTCAGTATTCAGTAGTTTGGAACCGCTGGGAGATACCTGAAAGATATGATTTCATAAACTTTACATCGAAATTAACAAAAACAAAAAAAAGGGATATAACATACCCAAGGTCCAACCATGACTTGTGGCAGCGAACAGCTATTCACTTTGCGTGTACCGAATTGTCCAAAACAACCTAATCCAAAACCGTACACCCTACCACGAGATGGCACTAAAGCAAGCGTATGTTGGGCTCCGCATGAAATTTGGGTAACTGTACTACCCATTAACTCAGTTACTTTTCTTGGCAATACTTCATTCATGTTGCCGCCATGTCCCAGCTGACCGTATGAACCTTTGCCACATGTGAAAACACCACCATCGTTGGTTAAAAATACAGAATATTGTTCACCACAGGCTATATAGCGCACACGCAGGCTACGAATTGTTCTCAATTGTGTTGGAAAATGTCGATGTGTAGTGTCGTTTAGTCCTAATTGTCCACTATTATTGCGTCCCCAGCCAAATACAGCACCAGATTTTGTGATAATGAAAGAATGATTGCCCCCACATGCGATAAAAGCAATAGGTATTCCCAGCAATGAGTCTACAATACGAGGAGAAGTGGCGTGAGCCAATTCACTTGGCGGTGATACTCCTAATTGGCCATAGATGTTTGAACCCCAAGAGTATAAAGCGCCACCTGTAGATAAAATTTCATTTATAGCATTTTGACAATTATAGGTTGGTATACTTACAATTAGTTAATGCAAGACTGTGATTATAACCGCTTGCTATTTGTATAACAGTTTGAGTAGCAAGTTTTTTGATCATTTTCGGGGAAGGCACAACATCTAATCCATCTTGTTGTGCCAGTTGCCCATAGTCGTTATGACCCCAGCTGTAAAGCTGGCCCCATTCACTGAGCGCTAATGAATGCCTAGCGCCACCACTTATTTCCGTGATAACAGTATTACCGAGATCATTTATAAGCTCTGAAATGTGTTAAAAATCGTAAGTTTACTAAAGAATGAAGATAATGACGATCCAAATATTTATTTATTGTTGTGGTTTTGCATTTCGTCGTTTAAAGTACAAAACCGCGTAACTGACCTTTTTTGCCAAAAATTGGATTTGCTCACCGAAGCTCTTGGCTTAACCCTTATCCATTCGTCCTAAAATATACCAACCAGAAATGCGGTTAGTTTATAAAAGAGAGAACAATTTTGAAATATGAGTGTTTTTACTCTCTACAAAATAATTTATGCAACCTCACGTACGTGGTTTTGCATTATCTTTATGCGCGGTTTTGCATTACGTCAAAACGCGGTTTTGTACTTTAAACGACGATATGCTTGCTGATAAAGTGTTTTAACGAAAAATATGCCACTGTTAAGAAATTTTAAAATGATATATTTCAGGTTCACTATGGCCAATAGGGAAAGCAATTAAAGCGTTACTTGATCGAGTAACCAATTTCATTCATGACCTCAAATTTATCACACACCTGCTGAAACGTCTATAGTGCTGACAATGCTACAAGTTGGTGTACAAGAATTTCATGGGGAAAATAATCATATAGTTTTATATTTAGTGTATTCACATACGTGGCCGCTTAGTCATCTGTTGGTGACCCAATTGACCAAAATCATTACATCCGCATGAGTATACTTTTCCGTCTGAAGTCAAAAATAAAGTATGCTCGAGGCCGCATCCTATGCTGATTACAGAGTGTTCTGGTTTCCAGGGTATTTCTCGGGGTTCCAAAATCTAAGCGGAACGTGTGTCACTATTAATTTGTATCAAAATCTTAATAACTAATTAACCTCTTCTTCCTCAATGCCGCCCAGTCCAAGTTCGCCATGTTCTGTGTTGCCCCAGCCAAATATGGACATGATTGTATTGTCGATTTCTCCTTCGCGCAATGAACTATGCTTTCTTCGAAAACACTGATAACATTTTCCAACTATCTGATTTTATTTTATGTTTTACAGCTATATATTTCTCACCGTTGCCTCTTGATCTGAAAGAAATATATGTAGGTCATTACAAATTTTTCTTCATTTATTAACGGCTAATTAACATACTATTTTTAAATACATATGTGTGTGGACTCAAAAGTTAACAAAATATTTGGGGAATCAATAGTATGCAAGGCCATTATCCACGGATTAAACAATTTTGTATGACATGGCGATTATTATTTTATGGCACGTTAATATGCATATATAAATCTACATACCTTAAAAGTTTAATAAAACCTGTAATTTAAATCTCTGATTTATATTAATTACACGAAAAAAGAAAAAAAAGATTTACGAAGCACTAAAGTGACTTTTATATTTTTCCATCTGCTTCTAAGAATTTTGAAATGAAAACAAAACTACAAAAATGTGACAGCTCAGAAAAGAATGGAAATAAATGTTTGGCAGCACTGCAGAGTTGCATCACTGAATTAAAATGTCTTTTCGAAAAGAGAAAATAT